TCCCAAAGTCACGGCTGAAACTTAGAGGAGACCAAGCGTTCTCTGTTGCCGCGCCGATGCTTTGGAATAACCTTCCTCTCCATATTAGACAGGCTGCATCAGTGCCAGTTTTTAAGTCTTTATTAAAAACCTATTTTTATTCCCTGGCTTTTAACTCTGTGGGTAACTGACATTTTTATTTTATTTTCCATCCATCCATCCATCCATCTTCATCCGCTTTGTCCGGGGCCGGGTCGCGGGGGCAGCAGCCTAAGCAAAGAGGCCCAGACCTCCCTCTCCCCAGCCACCTCCTCCAGCTTGTCCGGGGGAATACCAAGGCGTTCCCAGGCCAGCCGAGAGATATAATCTCTCCAGCGTGTCCTGGGTCTGCCCCGGAGCCTCCTCCCGGTGGGACATGCCCGGAACACCTCACCCAGGAGGCGCCCAGGGGGCATCCTTGTCAGATGCCCGAACCACCTCAGCTGGCTCCTTTCGATGTGGAGCAGCAGCTGCTCTACTCTGAGCCCCTCCCGGATGGCCGAACTTCTCACCCTATCTCTAAGGGAGAGGCCAGCCACCCTTCGGAGGAAGCTCATTTCTGCCGCTTGTATCCGCGATCTCGTTCTTTCGGTCACTACCCACAGCTCGTGGCCATAGGTGAGGGTAGGGACGTAGATCGACCGGTAAATTGAGAGCTTCGCTTTTACACTCAGCTCCCTCTTCACCACGACGGACCGGTGCAGCGTCCGCATTACTGCAGCTGCAGCCCCAATCCGTCTGTCGATCTCCGGCTCCCTTCTCCCATCACTCGCGAACAAGACCCCGAGATACTTGAACTCCTCCACTTGGGGCAGGAACTCATCCCCGACCCGGAGTGGGCACTCCACCCTTTCCCGGCTGAGAACCATGGCCTCAGATTTGGAGGTGCTGATCCTCATTCCCGCTGCTTCACACTCGGCTGCGAACCGTTCCAGTGCGAGCTGGAGGCCTTCACCCGATGAAGCCAACAGAACCACATCATCTGCAAAAATCAGAGATGAGATTCTGAGGCCACCAAAGCGAAAGCCCTCCGCCACTTGGCTGCGCCTAGAAATCCTGTACATAAAAATTATGAACAGAACCGGAGACAAAGGGCAGCCCTGGCGAAGCCCATTACCCACCGGGAACGAGTCCGACTTATTGCCGGCAATGCGAACCAAGCTCTTGCAACGGTTGTATAGGGATCGAATGGCCCGTAGCAATGGGCCAGACACCCCGTCGACGTCAGCAGCGCTCCGCCAGCACTATACACAGTGCAGGTAGAGCACCGCTTTCCCCTCCTGAGACGTCTGACGGTTTGCCAGAATCTCTTCGAGGCAGTCCGAAAGTCTTTTTCCATGGCCTCTCCGAACTCCTCCCACACCCGAGTTTTTGCTTCAGCCACTGCCCGAGCCGCATTCCGCTTGGCCTGTCGATACCTGTCGGCTGCCTCCGGAGTCCCACAGGCTAACCAAGCCCGATAGGACTCCTTCTTCAGCCTGGTGGCTCCCTTCACCTCTGGTGTCCACCATTTGGTTCGGGGATTACCACCACGGCAGGCACCCACCACCTTGCGGCCGCAGGTCAATGCAGCAGCTTCGGCAATGGAGACTCTGAACATGGTCCATTCGGACTCAATGTCCCCAGTCTCCCTCGGAATGCTGTTGAAGCTCTGCCAGAGGTGTGCGTTGAAGATCTCGCGGACTGGGGCCTCTGCTAGACGTTCCCAGCACACTCTCACTACGCGTTTAGGTGCACCAGGTCTGTCCAGCGTCCTCCCCCGCCACCTGATCCAACTCACCACCAGGTGGTGATCAGTTGACAGCTCAGCCCCTCTCTTTACTCGAGTGTCCAGAACATATGGTCGCAGATCTGCTGATACGATTACAAAATCGATCATCGACCTACGGCCTAGAGCGTCCTGGTGCCACGTGCACTTATGGACACTCTTATGTTCGAACAGGGTGTTCGTTATGGCCAAACTGTGGTTAGCACAGAAGTCCAATAACAGAGCACCGCTCGGGTTCAGATCAGGGAGGCCGTTCCTCCCAATCACGCCCCTCCAGGTCTCGCTGTCGTTACCCACGTGAGCATTGAAGTCTCCCAGCAGGACAACAGAGTCTCCAGGTGGAGCACCCTCCAGCACCCCCCCAGGGACTCTAAGAAGGCTGGGTACTCTGAACTGCCACTCGGCGCATAAGCGCAGATAACAGTCAGGACCCGTTCCCCGACCCTAAGGCGCAGGGAACAAACCCTCTCGTCCACCGGGAAAAACCCCAACGTACCGGCAGCAAGCCGAGGGGATATTAGGATACCCACCCCAGCCCGCCGCCTCTCACCAGGGACAACTCCAGACTGAGACAGAGTCCAGCCCCTCTCCAGGAGACTGGTTCCAGAGCCCAAGCCATGTGTAGAGGTGAGCCCGACTATATCTAGCCGGTACCTCTCAACCTCACGCACTAACTCAGGCTCCTTCTCCACCAGAGAGGTGACATTCCATGTCCCTATTGCCAGTCTTGGCAGCTGGGGGTCAGTCCGCCAGGGCCTCCGCTCCTGGCCGCCACCCGGCACACAATATATATTTTTTTATTTTTTTATTTTTTTTTCATTTTTTTTATTGTTTTTTAACTTTATTGCTATGTCTATTACTATGTGCATATTAGTATTGTACAGCACTTTGGTCTACCAGGTGTGTTTTTAAAGTGCTATATAAATAAATAAATGATGATGATGATGATGATTAATGAGAATGGCCACTCCTCTAGCCTTCGAATTAAAAATTGGGTGAAAGACCTGACCTACCCAAGGGCAATATAACCTATAATCATCCTTAATGCGAAGATGAGTCTCCTGTAAAAATGCTATGTCAGAATTTAGACGTATCAAGTGAGTAAAAACCTTAAATCTCTTAACAGGGCTACCCATACCTCTGATATTCCAACTAATGAACCTAAGAGGCATGCCTGACCCAGCAATGCTGGGGTCTATATTGCCATTAACCATTCATAAAAAGGAAGAAGAAAAAGACCAAACCAAAATGCCAGTGGCCATGAAGAGCCGAAATGGGACAGCCACCCCCCCCCAACCCCCCCAACCCCCCCCCCCCCCCCCCCCCCCAACCCAACCCTGAACACAAATACACAGCTTGGAAAAGATTGTGCCGGACTGGTCCGAAGTTCAAGTATATATTACACGATTCAGTTTCATTAATTAACAAAGAAAATAAAAGGAACCAGCACACCAACAGTACAATAACTAGCACAACGGCCTAAGAAAACAATGCACAGGTGGCGTTAAACCTAAGGAGAGCGTGAACCCTTAGCAGCATTACAGCATCAAACTGAGGGGCTATCGAGGCTCACCCAGAGATCAAAGTTTTGACATAATCACTGGCCTCCTCTGCTGAAACAAAGTCCTTCTCGACACCCTTATATGTGATGCGTAGTTGCGCTGGATGAAGCAGGCCATACCGAACACCTTCAATGCCACGGAGTTGCTGCCTGACCGAGCCCGTGCCACCCTGGCGGTGTAGTCGGGGAAGACTGAGATGGTCTCCAACTTTAATCTGTCGGCGTTCTCTAGCACGTCGTAAAATGTCAACACAGTCAGTGTGGTAATGAAACCTGCATACAATGGCTCGTGGACGGCGGGCTTAGGTGCGGGCTGGAGAGTCCTGTGCGAACGATCCAAAAGCGGCTCCTTTCCCAGATCAAATGCTTCTTTTAGCAGGGAGGCTACGGCAACAGTGGTGCATGTGTCAGGGCCCTGCGGTACTCCCACTATCCTAACACTGTTGCGCCGCGACCTGGACTCCAAGTCTTCACACGTATTTTCCAGCTTGGCTACATGAGCTGTGAGGCCCTTGATAGTGTTTCTCATCTCAGCTATATCATCAGAGCAGACAGTAAGTGCGTGCTCCATCTCCTTCACCGTACCTTTTAGCTCAGACATGGTAGCGTCATTGGCAGCTTTATCGATCGCCAGCTGCGTCTTCACAGCCTGCAGGTCGAACTTAATGGTAGACAAAGCATCACCCAGAGTGTCCTGAAGTTCCTTTTTAAAGATGTCGGCGATATCTTTCCTCAGCCAGCAACTCGACCTTGAGAGCTTCAATACCAGGATTAGCTTGGCACGAGGGGGGCTTTGCAGGAGACGACGGCTCACTCGAGGGTGTGGTTGCGGTTTGCAAACTAGGCCTCAGTTGTGTTTGAATAGTACTGCGGGTTTTAACATTTTTTGCTGCCATTTTATGCAGGCCCGAGTAAAACTTCTCAACAAAACAATCCACAAACCAAAACAGGACTGGAAATATGGCCGAAAAGCGCGAATGAATAACAACTTAATCGAAATCGGCGGGAGCTCCCAGACTCGCGTCCCACTCCATCAAAGCTCAACCAGAAGTCCCACAGCACTTCTTTTAAACAGAGTTCCTTGTTTTCTATAATATAGAACCCTGATTATATGCCACAGATGCATTTTTATTACATTTTTGTTGTCACAGAAGTTCTACTATTAGATATAATAATGGTGCAAGCTCCACCTGTACATAGTGCTTAAAAGCTGGACGTAACACTGTGCGAGCAGTGGTGCAGAGACGTGCTGTGTACTGCAGGATGCTGTTGTGGCCGCTGGTTTCTACAAAAGGCCAAGCTATAAATAGGTCTTTCTGCAGCTGCCTGTGACCCTAGCATGCAGGGACTATACTAATGGATCGACGCAGACCCCCGTGTTGCTGCCGCCAGTTGTTGCACGCAAGCAACGCATTTATCAGCTGATGAAGCAGAGCCTCTAACACCTGTAAAATTACTACTTTTGTATTTCAATACAATATAAAATATTGAATAAATCGTTAGAACCCAGGACCTACTTAATGCCACCATGTCACAATGACACCCATTTAGAACCTGTCACCTCCCTAAATGCTAAGCTACTCTGGCTTCTGGTTCTCAGTAGTGAGGAATGACAATCAATGGATGTAATTAGAGTGAAAAACAGACTGATACCTGATGGAAGCCCAGATAGTCCTGAATGGTGTGAGAGGAGTAGAAGATGGTCCCACTGGCAGTGATAACCAGGATGAATCCATTGAGAGCCTGTTAAAGCAGATGCACAGACAGTGACACGGTTCATTACTGTGCTTTCATCCGTGTGCTGCAGCATCTGACTGTCATCAGCCAACATGATCATAATGATGTGACTTTAACTAGAGGATATACATTGACGAACAACAGGTACAACAATATGTTCTATTTTTCCCTTTTCGTTCATTTCCATCTAACAACATTTTAGTCAGACAGTGGGAGGTGGAATAAACGTGGATCTGAGGTTGTGGTTTGGGGGGGCCCTCTGTGAGGACTGGTGCTGGCTCTCTGGCTGTGCAGACCTCCAAAGAAACTGTCCTGCATGAGGAGCAATGACTGAGCGTGACAACAGTCTTGACGATTACAGTGAATGTACGCTGTATTGAAAAAAGTACAGTATTAGCTTGTCTGCATTCACAAACATTCAAACCTAAGATATGCTTTTGTTAATTGATCGTTTTTAATATGATGTTTGCAGCTACAACAGTGAGAGCTCCAGTTTTTGGCTCGCGGTATCCCAAAGGTGTTCTGGGTTGAGGTCATGACTTTTTTCTAGGGATAGACAGAATCCAATATACAGCATCGGTCCGATCCTGACCTAAATTACTGGATCGGATATCGGGGAGAAAAAATATATAATCCGATCCATTAAATATCACAAAAGAGCCTCAGAAAACTTGCAACATGGCGTAACCCAGGTAGTGACCTCAGCACGTCGGAGCAGTATGCGTCACGTGACAGAGCGGCTGTTGTGTGCGAGACCTGTCAGCAGTCTGGAGTGCACACTGAAAGCATTTGGAGCCGCGCTACGTCCTGCCAAACCAGGTGTTGTACCAAGGTAGGGATTCCCGAGAAAACCTGCCCCGCCCCCGCTGCGAGCACCCGCTGGACACAGAGTGGGATCCAGTTCACTCCGCCTCCATTACAGACAATTAGACGTGGAAGTAGTGATGTTTGAGTTTTGTGAAAAAGTGAAAATGAGTGTCGTTATCTTACCATTCAGTTTGAGGGTTCACACGTGGTGAGGGACGGGGTTGTTTTAACAAACGCCTGATGATTATATTTATCCTCCTGTGACTTTGCTGTATAAAGAGCTAAAACCTCCAACGTTTCAGGAGGAGTTCGTCGTTATAAGAAGTCGGTTTATGTTCAGCTTTAAGAATAAAAGGGTCCATTTTTTCTAACGTTGTTGAATATAAATATTATTTTCTGCTGATATTGCACTTCTTTCTTTCAGAACCAAAGAGTTTGTGAAACCTGCATAAAATTGCATTTTAAATTCCTTTTTGAATATCACTTCGATTTCTGCTAAAAGTTTAAATGAAAAGATCAGTATCGTTATTCTAGTTGTTATTTCTTGAAACAACAAGAATAGCCAACACAAGACTGCCTGTAAAATGCTAGATAGTGCTTTTCTACTCGAGCAGTCAAAGTACTTTATACAACATGCCTCAGTCTCCCACTCACACAAGAACTTTTTCTACAGTTCATATTCGCCTCTCTGCATCAGGACTGTGATGGTTCGGTCCAACGTACCGCAACATTTCTTACTTTATGTTGGTGACTTCTTAGACCACATCAGGAAACCAGGATTTTTTTGGTCCCCACAAAGATACACACACACGCATACACACACGCACACACTCCTCTCTGATAGCACAGCGCTGATGCCCTCCCATGACCTGTTTCCTTCAGGGAGCATGAACAGCCACTGAAACTGGGCGACACAAACATGTCTGAACTCTTCCTGAATCATCCAGAATCAAACCAGTTAGCACCTCATGGTATCATTAACCTCCGAGCTGTCAGGGTTTACTTCAGGCATCATCTGTGTACGTCTTGGTTTCCAGACTAAAAGCAGGCAGCCTGTGTCCTGTGATGTCGTAGCTGTTGTGTGAACCTTCACTGTGTTCATTATTAACATTGCCTAAAAGGGAAAAGTAGCACAATTACTAAATTCTGCCATATTTCCTGCATTCTCTGTTTGAATAATTGACTGGCTCCTCTATAATTCACTACCATCTGATGTGAAGAACAGCAAAGGAAGAGGCTTCATACAAGAACTCCTTTTATGAAATCAAATTCAAATTCAAATTCAAATTTTATTTGTCACGTACACAGTCATACACAGTACGATATGTAGTGAAATGCTTGGACAACTGCTCGTGACCTAAAGAAAACAAAAAAAGGAAAAGGCTATGAATAAGATAGGAAATAAATATGAAAAATTAAAAAGGGTAAATTTAACTAGGAAGGAATAAAATATAAATTAAGGTTAAAAATGAAATAACTGTACAACACAAATTAGAATGAAGGGTAAATTTAACTGGGAAAGAATAAGATAAAATATATAAATTAAAGTTGAAAATAAAATAACTGTACAACAAAATACACAATATAGAACTATATAAGAATGTATGAAGAAATCTAAATATAAATAAATATATACACAATAACAGCAGCTGTACAAGTATTAACCGGAAATGAAGAATATAGTGACCAGTGTTGTGCAAAACCAAAGTCCAGAAAGTCCAGTGTGTGTGTAAGAACTGTATGTGTGGGTCAGTACTGTGTGGTGGTGTGATTGAGAGACCGTATCGCCTGCAGGAAGAAGCTCCTCCTCAGTCTCTCTGTGTTGGTCTTCAGGGAGCGGAATCGCTTTCCTGACCTCAACAGAGAGAACAGTCTGTTGTTGGGATGGCTGAGGTCCTTCACGATCTTCCTGGCCTTGGTCCAGCACCGCCTGCTGTAGATTGAGTGCAGGTCAGGGAGCTCGGAGCGGATGGTGCGCTCAGCTGACCGCACAACCCTCTGTAGAGCTCGTCTGTCCTGCATGGTGCTGTTCCCGAACCAGGTTAAGATGTTTCCCGTCAGGATGCTCTCTATGGTGCAGGAGTAAAAGTTCCTGAGCACCTTGGAGGGCAGTTGGAAGTCTCTCAAGCGTCTGAGGTGGTAGAGACGCTGACGGGCCTTTTTCACCACGGTGTTGATGTGACAGGACCATGACAGGTCCTGCGTGATGTGAACTCCGAGGTATTTGAAGCTGTCCACTCTCTCCACTGGGCACTCGTTGATGACGGGGGTCTGGTAGTTCCTCTCCTGCTTAGTGCTGAAGTCCACTATCAGCTCCTTTGTCTTACTGACGTTTAGAAGGAGGTTGTTCCTCTGGCACCAGTTCTCCAGATTCCTAATCTCCTTCAGGTAGGCCGTCTCGTTGTTATCAGAGATCAGGCCCACCACGACGGTGTCGTCAGCAAACTTGATGATGGTGGAGCTGGTAGTGGCCACACAGTCATATGTGTACAAAGAGTACAGCAGGGGGCTCAGAAAACACCCCTGGGGGGCTCCAGTGCTGAGAGTGGTGGAGGCTGAGACATGTCCGCCCATCCTTACTGCCTGTGGTCTGCCAGTTAGGAAGTTGGAGATCCACTGACACATAGATGAGCTGAGTCCCAGATGCTCCAGCTTGGTGGTGAGTGTGGAGGGAATTATGGTGTTAAATGCAGAGCTGTAGTCTATGAAGAGCATTTTAACATAATTCCCCCTTCTAGTGTCCAAGTGAGTGAGTGATGTGTGGAGGAGATGAGAAGCCTATTCTTTGGAGACAAACCATCATTGTTCATCTCCTCGCTTATTCTGAGGATCAGGAGCATGAGGAGCAAGTTCTCTGTGGAGCACCGCCTCCTGACTCATCTACAAATGACCTTTCATTTCTCACTTCGAACAGTTTGGGGAAACGTACAGTTATCATGTGAAAGAAGTCTGAATGTTGGAGAAAGGAGCCCGTTTCCTCAGCTCTCCTGGAATGCCAGTGTGATGCACATTGGAAGGAAGTGGGCTGGAAAATCAAAGACTGCAGCCGATCCCGAAAAGCTCCGGCAGCCAGCAAGCTTTCTTCACACACGCAGCACAGACGGCACAGAGCTCTTATCTTTCTGTTAGAAGTCAAACTGGATTTTTGATCAATAATTTCTACCTGAAATTCCAGAAAATATCCCATAACAGCATTTCTATCAGATTATCCTGTCACACTCTCCAGGTCACCTAATTTGTATTTGATTAGAGCTGAAGTCTGTGATATTTACAGTACATTTGCACAAACTGGTCCATAAAGAGGCCGTGGATTAACCAAACCAGTAACCTGGTGGATGTGAGTCCTGGGAACACTCCAGGCATTTACAGCCCGTTCTCACTCCTGAGGCGTAACATCCCGACGATTTGTCAAGTCCCAATGCGTTCCTGAGGAACGAGTTCTTATGCTACGCGCTGGCTTATGGATGAAATCCAAATATAAACACAGACTTGATGAAGACTTGAGCAGTAACGTCGTTGAAGTAGCTCCAACAGACACTGAGCCTCCTGCTGTTGACAGTAGCGCTGTTTTCACTCATGACCCAAAGACACAAAAGTGCAAATTACTGCTCCTTTACTCATCAGCTCGCTGGCTGCAGCTGAGCAGCTCAGGCGATGTTTAGTTGCACCAGTGTGAACCGATGTGAGGATGGCAGTGAATCATCCCTCACACACTTTGTGATTTTGTCATAAAGAGGTCACTGTCATTTTTTTACACATGTCTGCCACACAAACATTTATACAAGTGTGGTTTTAAAACTTCAGGTATTTTTAAGTATAAAGAAGCTAAATCGTATTATTCCTGCACAGATGGAGTCAAACATATTTGAACAACACTGAGACGAGCAACACAGCCGTTTTAATGCAGTTCTCAAATGTACAAAAATGAAACAATGAGTCACGTGAACAGAGTAAAATGTCAAAGACAGTCTCATCGAGAGCTGAGTCCCAGAGCCTGCATGATGCTCCCAGCTGGGAATCCCTGGAACTGAATCCTAACAGCAAACTAATACTAAAGACAACATGTTTGACTAATTAATAAATAATAATATAGACAAAGGCGTCACAGTTTTGTTGCACACGGTCAGTGATGATAAAGGGCTGCTCTGTTGTAGTCATGGTGCTTTTGGTGGTTCATAACTGACCTGCAGCAGAAGCTCACCCTCGGGCATCTTGGTATTTGTTCCTCCTGTTTTATTGTGACCATCCTTCCCTCCATTTCGATTGTTGAGGGCAACTGCAGAGAGAAACACACATGCTTCAGTCTTGTGATGCTTGCACAGCACTGCTGTTATTTTCTCCACATTAAAAGCAGGAAACACACTAACAAAGCATTGTATGCAGTTTCTATGCAATAAGCAGTTTCCTCAGGTTCAGAGCTTTTGAACTAAAATATACTGTTTTTACTTTAAAACAGAGAAGAAAGACGACAAATTCCTCCTCATCGTTGTGCAGGTGAAGCCAAAGGCAACACGTCACATCCCGACGCCGTGACAAATCGTCCGTCAGGCACTCGGAGACACGAGAGCCATTTGGAATGAATCTATACATGTAAATGTGTTTTATGTTCTGATCATGAAACACGGTTAAGGTGAGGGCTGGAGTACATGCTGGAGCGTGTTACCGCCACTAGCTGAATTCTATTGGATTCAACTGAGAATCCAAAGCATATCATCAGGACACTGAAGGGTACCTTTCGTGTTAATATGAGACACACATGACAAATCATCAGTATTACACGTTGGGAATGAGAATGCTAAACTTCATCATCTTTTCTAGTCTTTGGCTTAGAAAGAAGTTGGTGTGGAAGAATATTTGCCGATGCTTCATCCCCTGCTCTGTGTTTTTTGCGTTTGTCCATTATGCCAGCAGCGTCTAAGCATTTTTAAAAAAAAATTTATACCACACCCCCTGCAATGGCGTGCCCCCCAATTTGGGAACCACTGGCTTAGTGGGAAGTTGAAGGTTGTCAGGTCAACTACAGCTTTTCACCACGCCCCCTTTCTCTCTTTTCTTATGAACTTACAACATATTTATTAGAAACACACACATTTGATCATGTCCACCACTTTATTAACCTCACCTGTTTTCAAATGAGCAATTTATCTACAACGTTTTACTCCCATTGACTCCGATTAACCTGCCACTGTGACCACAGTTTTCACCCTACAGATGCAGCTACACTCGACTCTTTTCACAGAAGCCCTTCTTCAAAGCACACCTGGTTATCTTACCTGACGCTTCAATTTGGCTACTTGAACGTGGGAAGCTGTGGGAACATCACCAGGACTTGCTGCTTGAAGTTCACATGAAATGACTTTGGAGCGTTAAACTTTGATGTACTTTATTTCACGAAGAAATTATTTGTTAATTTGGGAGTGTTTTGGATGATAGAAAGGAGCTCTGTATGAACACTGCTGCTGCTAAACTACTGTGGTGGAAGCAGCGTGCTTGATCCCATCAGTGGGCCCCATGTCAGCACTGGCCAAATGTATCTGGCCCAGTAACTGATAGATTAAACCTGACAAACAAGCACTGACCCTGAAAATCAGGCACTCCCTCATACTTGGCGCTCTCTCTGCCGGCTCTGCAGGCAGTTTTTATTGTAATGTGTTGGTGTACAAAACGCAGACGAAAAGCTGCAAACTAAAGGTTCATGAGCGTTCCTTCAAATGTCTGCACATATGACAGCGCCTTCAGCTTATGTACAGACTGCTGAAAGGGTTGGTCTCACTCTTCTTAAACATTTTCTTTTTTAATTAATAAAAAAAAGACTCAAACCAAAATAAAAATAGAAATAGGAGACTTAGACGCACAACTGAGAAACAAGGAACGAGTATGTCAGAGTCTACCCAAGACAAAGAAAACACATTTGAGTTCAATCATTTTCTAATCCAATTATTAAAATTAGCTGAAGTGCACATTACATACAGGAGGAGCAACTACTGACGACTAACTCTACATACAGCCGCTGTCATGGTAAGTGTGGATGTGCTGGGGTTGTACATTCTACTGTGTGCGCACCCTAACTTGGTTGTGGAAGATCTGAGGAAAACTAATGTGAAACGTCTTGATGACTTACTGCTGTAAGAAACGGATATAAAAATGACTCTTAAGTTGGACACATTTGTAACAGTTTCAGTGACAGCAGACAAGCTCGCAGCTGAACACATGAACAGTAGATGGCCCTTTATGAAGAATTTCAAGAGGTCAGTATAGCTGACCCCTTTTAACAACGCTGACCCCTCACCCAGCTGGTGTGCATGCTAGCATTAGCTGATAAACTGATGGAACACGAGAAGCTGGAGAAATACCAAGGGCTCAGAGAAGAGCTCGAGAGGATGTGGAGGGTGAAGGTGACGGTGGTCCCCGTGGTAATTGGAGCACTAGGTGCGGTGACTCCCAAGCTAGGCGAGTGGCTCCAGCAGATCCCGGGAATAACATCGGAGATCTCTGTCCAGAAGAGCGCAGTCCTGGGAACAGCTAAGATACTGCAGGACCCTCAAGCTCCCAGGCCTCTGGTAGAGGACCCGAGCTTGAAGGATAAACCGCCCGCAGGGGCGAGGGGGAATTTTTTTTATATATAATAAATAAAAATCTACAGAGTTGAAATTGATTGAATGAATTCCCTGCCTTCACTACATGACGCCTGCTGAAAAGCCCTGTCACAACTTTTACACAGGCTAATCCATAAACATCAAACAGGTTTCCACTGGACTTCACTGTTTACAGTGGGGCAAAAAAGTATTTAGTCAGCCACCGATTGTGCAAGTTCCCCCACTTAAAATGATGACAGAGGTCAGTAATTTGCACCAGAGGTACACTTCAACTGTGAGAGACAGAATGTGAAAAAAAAATCCATGAATCCACATGGTAGGATTTGTAAAGAATTTATTCGTAAATCAGGGTGGAAAATAAGTATTTGGTCAATAACAAAAATACAACTCAATACTTTGTAACATAACCTTTGTTGGCAATAACAGAGGTCAAACGTTTACTATAGGTCTTTACCAGGTTTGCACACACAGTAGCTGGTATTTTGGCCCATTCCTCCATGCAGATCTTCTCGAGAGCAGTGATGTTTTGGGGCTGTCGCCGAGCAACACGGACTTTCAACTCCCGCCACAGATTTTCTATGGGGTTGAGGTCTGGAGACTGGCTAGGCCACTCCAGGACTTTCAAATGCTTCTTACGGAGCCACTCCTTTGTTGCCCGGGCGGTGTGTTTTGGATCATTGTCATGTTGGAAGACCCAGCCTCGTTTCATCTTCAAAGTTCTCACTGATGGAAGGAGGTTTTGGCTCAAAATCTCACGATACATGGCCCCATTCATTCTGTCCTTAACACGGATCAGTCGTCCTGTCCCCTTGGCAGAAAAACAGCCCCATAGCATGATGTTTCCACCCCCATGCTTCACAGTAGGTATGGTGTTCTTGGGATGCAACTCAGTATTCTTCTTCCTCCAAACACGACGAGTTGAGTTTATACCAAAAAGTTCTACTTTGGTTTCATCTGACCACATGACATTCTCCCAATCCTCTGCTGTATCATCCATGTGCTCTCTGGCAAACTTCAGACGGGCCTGGACATGCACTGGCTTCAGCAGCGGAACACGTCTGGCACTGCGGGATTTGATTCCCTGCCGTTGTAGTGTGTTACTGATGGTGACCTTTGTTACTTTGGTCCCAGCTCTCTGCAGGTCATTCACCAGGTCCCCCCGTGTGGTTCTGGGATCTTTGCTCACCGTTCTCATGATCATTTTGACCCCACGGGATGAGATCTTGCGTGGAGCCCCAGATGGAGGGAGATTATCAGTGGTCTTGTATGTCTTCCATTTTCTGATGATTGCTCCCACAGTTGATTTTTTCACACCAAGCTGCTTGCCTATTGTAGATTCACTCTTCCCAGTCTGGTGCAGGTCTACAATACTTTTCCTGGTGTCCTTCCAAAGCTCTTTGGTCTTGGCCATGGCGGAGTTTGGAGTCTGACTGTTTGAGGCTGTGGACAGGTGTCTTTTATACAGATGATGAGTTCAAACAGGTGCCATTCATACAGGTAACGAGTGGGGGACAGAAAAGCTTCTTACAGAAGACGTTACAGGTCTGTGAGAGCCAGAGATTTTCCTTGTTTGAGGTGACCAAATACTTATTTTCCACCCTGATTTACCAATAAATTCTTTACAAATCCTACCATGTGGATTCATGGATTTTTTTTCACATTCTGTCTCTCACAGTTGAAGTGTACCTCTGGTGCAAATTACTGACCTCTGTCATCATTTTAAGTGGGGGAACTTGCACAATCGGTGGCTGACTAAATACTTTTTTGCCCCACTGTACATGACACAGCCCCACTAACCTGCCACAGCTCAGGAGTTTGGCTGCTAACAAAAACCAGTAAAAACTCACATCTTCTCTAGTCTTGCTTCTCGTGAAATTTTTAACTGATTTAAATATTTTCATGAATCACACATAAAGCCCTACAGAGCCCAAATCCTTCTTACATAGCTCATGTTCTGAGCTTCCAGCTTCTCTAGTTATCCCATTAGAGACTACTGACTACTCCACTGCTTTACTTCAAATCCACGTTTCTGAGTTTGCAGCACCAAACCTTTGAAACGACATCCCTGAAGCTGTCGTTCATTTTGATTAGTACGCATACATATTAATATTTTATCACATTTTTGGCTATAATTTACAATAACATGCACTTTATAAAGTGCTACACAAATAAGGTTACAAGTTATCATAACAATAAAGTTCACATGAGTTTGACATTTTAAATAATGCACAATTTTCTGCTCTGATATTAATGTGTAATGTCAGTGAACCTTCTCCTTGTATAAATGGGCATGCAGTAATTACAATACAACCACAACCTCACAGCCTTCCTCTCTGTGCAAACAACCAAACGATCCTTTGCTTTGCATTGACAGCATTAACACAGCACAGAAAGAGTCAATGCAAAAATGAACAGTCAATGCAGCTGCCCCACTCCCACATCTACTAACACATGCTGTACACACCAGCACACATATTAGAGAAAACACGCACGCTGTGCCGCCTTCCTGGCATTAGCAGGGCTGGGGGATGGGGTTAAGCCAAGTAGGAGAAGGACAGAGGATGAGGCTGGCAGAGGGTGCTGACCCCACAGCTCTACCTTTCATTTGTGGTCAGAGAGATGACCTACAGGAAGGAGGGGGAAGCAGTGCACAGTGAAACAGGCATCATGACCTGTCACA